CAGAGCAGCTGGAAGTTTGCGCCAGCTGCACCTACCGTGGCCTGACATGCTTCGGGGGCTTCGATAGCAGTGGAGCACATAATCAGCCTGTGGCAGAGCCGGGCTTCTTCCAGACGGGGCAGATTCTGGCGGCGAAGTGCGAGGTGAACCTGGTGGATGGCACCTCTGTCTGCCTCGGAGGAAATGAGTGCGCACTAGGTTCATCCGGCTTCCTATGTGGCGAATGCCCTGCCGCCTACGCACGGGATACGTATCCAGGTGCTTGCTCAGAATGCAGCTTCGCAGCTAGCTGGATGGGACTCGTGGTTTTCACCGACATCGCCCAAAACGTGCTCGTCAACTTCGCCGTTGCATCGTTGGCGGCCATGGCCGCGGTGAAGGACAGCCGCAGTCTGCACACAAGCATGATTCGAATTGGTACCCAGTTCATGACAGCATGCTCTGTGCTTGAACACTTCGAGATCGAGCAATTGCAAGTCTTCGATTGGTCAGTAGAGAGGAAGATCAAGGAGTGCGCTCAGACCGGCGACCCGTGTGACGATCTGAGGAGTATGAACTTCCCGTGGCCGCCAGAGGTCACCGAGTGGTTCCGGCAGGTCCTTGGCGTGCTTGACGTAGCGTCCAAGCTGAGTGCTGTGAGCTTCACACTGTCCTGCTGGGCTGAACACATCTGGGATTCGAAGCAGACCAAGCAGCTGGTGCCGGCCATGTACTTCGTTCTCCTACCGCTGCTTTCGATTCTGACCAGCTACCTACTGTGCGCCCTTGTCACGTATCTCATCGTCCCGGTACTGCGCAAGGCCGGCATCGAGGTCACTGAAGCGGCCAAGAAGCGCAAGCAACGAAAGGCGGCTCTCGAAGTGCTGGGAGACGTTCTCGGTCCGCGCTTGGGGGACCTGAACTTGACTTTCAAGGACCTCAAGGAGTCAGCTGCGCTTGACCACCTCCCTTTGCCTGACATCTACCTGGGGATCGACGCCCCGGGGGACTTGCTGGAAGGTCTTCGCCTGGGCGCGGCTTGGGTCAAGAAGGGCCTGGAAGCCGCAAAGGAGACTCCGGAGCTGGTTGCTCTTCTCGAGAAGGACGTGGATCTCTCTTCCTGCGCAGAGAATGTCACCCTGTTGGATCTCCTGTCCACGGACATAGATGCGAGCAGTTTGTGTAGCTTCGCTTCAGGCCCCTCTAAGCTGGACATGAACCTGATGGATCTTTTGGTTCGCCGGGCGCTCGCGTACTCTCTCATCAAGGAGGCAGACCTTCCACAAGATGACAACGCGCTTCCTCTGGAGAAGCTGGCTTTGGCGGTTTCGGCGAAGTTCTCCTCTACTGCTGAGATGAGGATTGCTTCTGCAAGCGGTGACTTTGGTTTCCTGTTGGCAGATGAAGCAGCGCATCTCAGTGCCGAACCGGCGAAAATCATCCCGGCCAGGACGGAGACGGGGCTGGCCACTGGGGAAGTGGATTTGGATACTTTGGACTTCGGCCTCTTCACGCGATGGCCCGGCCCATTCCAGCTGTTGCACCAGTCCGTGCCAGTGATATGGGTGACCTTGATCAACATGTGGCCTGGATTCTTGTCGCAGTACCTCCAGATGATTTGGTGCCAGCCATTTCAGGAGGAGGACAGGGTTGTCCAGCGCCTCCTGCCATACCCAGACATGGAGTGCTGGAGCAGTAATCACATGCCGCTTGCCACCATTGCCATCATTGGCTTAGGCTGCTGGTGCGTTGGCATGCCAATGCTGCTCATCCACGTCATTTGGAACCTCAAGGACCGGAACAGCCCGGAGAATCAGCGAAGGTTTGGATACTTCATCAACGGCTTTGAGCCCCGGTACTGGTGGTACGATCTTGTGATCCGGAGGTTGGACATCGCCGCCATGATGCTTGTCACCTACACATCTCTCACCAACGATGAAAGAGCAAAGCTGCTGTCATACCCGGTGATTTCGGGTGCGCAGATGGCTTATTGCTCATGGATCCAGCCATTCCAGAATAGCCAAGCGCAGATCCTCGACTTCTTTGAGATCGGCCTTGCCATCTTCCGCTTTCTCCTGTTCAGCACCGTTGCTATCATTCTGATCCTTGCTCCATCTCGCGAAGCGACATGGGTCTTGGCAGGTGCTCTTGCAATGCTCTTCACCCTCATGTGCCTCTACATGGCCTTGCACATCCTAGCACAGTTCCTGCGCGACACCTTGCACAAATTGGACGAAGCCGAGGAGGACGAGAAGAAGATGACCAGCAAGAGTTCCAAAGGGGGTGCCATGAAGTTCTTAACAGGCTTGGTTACCAGGGTGAAGCGCTTCGCAGTGCATACTGCCGCACCACTCTTCCAGGAGCGCGCCGATGAGCATTATTGGCTGGAGTGGTGCTTTCATTCCAGCAGCATCACCTTCGAGTCGGAAGTGCCTCTGGCGAAGACGAAGGTGTCCATCCTCACGAAGGTTCGGCGGGTATTGCTGCGCTTCGGGCGCTTCTACCAGTACCGGTCCACGGGCAAGGCCCTCGATGACTTTGCGTCGTTGTGGCTGGGCATTCTCAGGCAGTCCGTCCTGCCTAAGGATACCATGGAGGTCCTGTGTGTGCTCACATCAGCGCACAAGTCGGTGCCGTTCAAAACCCCGAAGTCCGACGTGCCCTGGCTGTGGAAGAGTCGGATGGAGAGCCTGCAGGCTGCAGGGGGTGCAGCCAAGTTCCGCTTCACGCCTGATGAAATGATTACCGCGATACAGCGCCTTGGGTCTCTTCGTGCTGTAGAGGCTGTAGAGTTGGTCCACTTGGCGACTCTGAAGAGCCCAGTTCCCGACGAGCCAGAAGCTGACATCCCGGCAATCTCGAACTGCGCTCACCTGCCGGACTTGACGGAGGACGAGCACGCCATCCACATATGATCCACGACATCCACGAGGATCTCTCGCTCAACTGCGAAGAAGGTCCGAACTGTCCAGGGTCATTGATTCTGATTGAGGTTGTGGAGGCAGAGACTCCTCCTGTTTGAGAAGCAGCAGCTATCGAAGGGGCTGATCGGTTAGCAGCCATTGTCTAGCAGCCAACCTTCTTGGATTTGTTGTTTTATGAAGCCACTTGCTCACAAAGTTGCTTGGCCTTGAAGGCCACAGAGCATGGAGCAGATTGATAACAAAATGTGCTAACGAATGGTGCGAGCCTCCGCCGGAATACCAGCATCGAAGCTGCACTTGCAACATGTCTTCAGATGCAGAGGCCGGATCAAGTCCTTTTCTGCACCTGTACGTTGCTTGGCCTTGGCCAGGCTTGAAAAATCACTTAGTTTGACCAGCTGACGCTAACAAAAAAAGAAACATGAGTGGAAAGCCCAACAGAAAGCCCCGCGGTGCACTTTTATATCGACACAGCTGCATGCGAAATTCCAACTAGGCTGTGAAACTGCCACATAAACGCACGCCCGCGCCCACAGGTGCTGAAGAACGAGCACTCCATGGCAGCCAGCCTGAGATCGAATCATCTAGCCATGTGTTAGAGGATTTTTGTTCATGAGTTTTGCTTGTGCTATGCGACGACTCGACGAGATGCTCCAGACGAGCATGAGCCAGCGGAGCTCAGAGCGCTCTGAGGTCATGGAACGCTTCATCGCCGAGGCTGAGACCTGAGACGAGAAGTCAGTCTCAGCGGATCCGTGGCAACAGCTGGTGTGATACTGGGATTCATCATTGCTTTTGCGAGGCTGTTCTCGACCCGTTGAAGCCTGATCTCAATGCATGGCTCCAGAAGTACATGAAGAGCCTCATCCTCAGAATCTCTCCCAGTATTGCCCTGGAGTCTATTATTTCGTACTATTACGGTGTTGCATGCTTTGCCTGTCTGCACTCGCCGCTCTGCGTCCAGGTGACTTCTTACGCAAGCATCCAGATCTGCAGGACGACCTCGTCTTGAGGGAGGGTTGTGAAACTTTGCACTACCGTTAAGCTCGAGCGTGCCCAATCCATTTGCCGCATGGCGAGGATCTTCAGCTGATACTTCGTCGACAGCTGATGACAAAGAATGCCGTCACGACTCGACGCACCGATCCCAGAGAACTCACAGGTTCGTTCGCTTGCATCAGTTTTAGCCGCTTCCGCGAATTTACGCAGGTCAGCTTCAAGATGTGAGCAGTGGTTGATGATCACCGAAGATCTACAAGGATCTGTAGTGCATCGTGAATGATGTTGAGCAAGAAATTCGCCTACTTAACTGCCAAGCTCACAAGGTGTTGACGTCCAGCTTGCCGAAGGCAGCTGGACGTGACAAGCAAGACCTGGTTGGACCAAGGCAGCTTGAGGGCTTTCGACAACAAAGTACTCCACGCGATGCGGTAGCAGTATAGCTTCTGCAATCTACTGCAGCGAAAACTCAAGAAAGGGAAGCGCGGCCATTTGAGATCAAGGCAGCTATGCGCACATCGACCAAGCCACAAAGCATGGAGTTCCACGCAGCGCTCGTCGGGATGCAGAGGCTGATTCCGACCGATCTCTAGGAAACTTCATTCTTCATGCGACAAGACCACATGATCCATCCGAAGTCGTGGATCGCACGCCCATGCTCAGAACGTTGTGCATTATGTGTCACAGGATCCCCTCAAACCCTGCACAGAGGCCTTTGGCCATCAGGTGCCAAACTTGACACGAAGCTTGTGAGGTTCGCCTTGTTAACCAGGGTCCTGCGACTTTAGCACTCAAAGGCCCGCTTCTGCGCTCGAAAAGAGGTGCCACCTTGCTCGCGGTGCAGATGGGAAATTGCCGCTAGCTGCGTTCACGGTTTCTAGTGCGCACATTGCTCAGAAGCTCATATCGGTACAAGTCTGCATGGTCCTGTGCCGTGCCGTTGAGGTGTGAAGTATTCCGTGAATCCCCTCTGAAATGCTCAGGGGACGATTGTGCTTTCATGTATCTGTTCTGCTCTGTGCACCTGCCTGCTCTTATCGCTTCACCTCTTCACTCTCGGAGCCGCTGCATACCAGAAGCTTCACTGACTTTGGGTTCATGACAACAGACCGGAACTACACCGGGCATAGCACCCACACCTTGGACAAGATCTCCGAGTGGCTCTGGGCCGACAGGTCAGAAGGTGATGCGAAGGAGGAGATCGTGGCTGGCCACAGATGTCAACAGCATGGGAGCCGAGAGGAGACATATTATGCTTCCAGTTTCTGCTACTGGCTTCCAGAGATTCATGACACAATGCGAACAATGCCGCTGCTGAAGTGGCGAGGAGGCCCGTATCCAAAGGTCCTCGACATGGGTAAGGATGTCCGATATCGCCGAGGCAAGTGCGTCAAGGCCGCTGTGTGCCACAATAACGGGCAAACGGATGACGGGACCGTGACCTCTACCTCGTTTGCCGAAGAAGTGGCCGTAAGGGAAGGCTGCCTTGGTGAAAGGGAGATTCTAAGCAAATGTGAGAGAAGCGTGGAGGAGGCCAATGCCGATCTTAAGAGTACGGTACTCGTTTGCGATGCAGTTGAAAAAAGACACAGGAAGGCAGTCAATGATCTCAATGCTTGTTTGAAGTCTTTGGCAGAGCTGCCGGGGCAGATTCAGTACACCTTCCCACGGAGAATCCGCGAGCAAGACCGCCTGATCAACAGAAAGAGATCGGATTTGTCCGACGCGAAGTCCAAGAGAGAATCGGCAAAATCACACATTCTCTTGACTTGTTCTGGCTTCAGCTTGTTCAGTCCGCCGTTTTGCTCGTATTCCCTCAGGAAAGAAGACTTGCACAAGTACATAAGGTGCAACAATTGCAAGCGCTCGCACAACAAGCTCTCCAGTGCAAAGAGAGCAGAAAGCGGGGCGCAAAGTGCGCTGAGGCGCGCTGAGTCTGACCTTCGATCTCTGGAAGCGAAGCTACGAGGAGCTGAAGTGCGTCTCCAAAGATGTCAAAAGGAGATTCCTTCCTTGGAAAACGTGAAGGACAGCTTGGACAAGGAGTGGCTGCCGCAAGAGAAGCATTGCCGTGTGGCCGCGGCAGAGTACCAGAGAAAGCAACAGCAGTTCATCCCGGAATGTGCTCGAGACCACTACGACCACTCATGCGAGAAATCTTGCCTGGAAACCAGCAGCGGTGGTTGTGCTGTCGTGGAGGGCAACAAGGATGGGGCATCCCATGTTCGTGGGGGAGTTCATGTCCCATGTGCACCACCTGAGCCCTCGTGGATTCTGGGGCCCCGCCGAGATGCCGAACAAGAGTCCTTGGAGAAGCAGTGCCAGAGGATTGTGCAGGTCCAACATCCCCAGTTTGCACAAAGCATCCTTAAAGTGGGCTGGCTGTGGAGGAAGGGCCGAGTGTGGGGCTGGGACAAGCACTTCACTGTGTTTGAGTCTGCTGATGCTGTGCGCTCAGCTGTTCTACGCTTCTACGAAGACGACCCCTCCTCCAACCAGAAGACTTCAGCTTCAGCTCCATCCATTATCCTGTGGGATGCGAAAGGTGTAAAAACCAAAGCTGGCCCACACTATGGCTTCAAGGATGGAGAGTTGTGCTTCAAGCTTTACCACTTCTACACCGATTACAGATTCTGTGTTCCAAGCGACGTGCCCGGTGACAAGTCTGCTGAACGAGCTGAGTGGATGGATTTGCTGAGCTCAAACATGAACTTTTCGGACTGGAAGTAAGCGCGGTGCGTGCAGACTTCCGTGCGCAGCAACCAGGAGCACACTCACAGCACACTTGGCCACACTGCGCCGTCACCACATGCCGAATCCTGAAGAGTAGTGTGTATACAGCTCTATGACACAGTTCCACGCTCGAAGAAAACTGTGTCGCCTTATTGCATGTGGTCTCTGGACGTGGTTGCTTTGAGGCAGCAGCATTGTCACGTTAATCACCGCGCCCGCTGCGCTCACTGCGATAAAGTTCGCCCACCACGCCCTTCACACGCCCACTGTGCGCCCTGCGCTCCCTGCGCCCACGCCCACTGTGCTCCCCCCGCACCCACGGCGCCCAGAGCGTTCACCTCGCCCTCCGTGCCCCACACAACACGTGAAATTGCCCTGCAGCGTCCCAGGCACCCTCCCCCTTTCCAGGCTACATCAGGAAGACACCCCCCACCCCCACGCACGCAAGAAACGTCGACCACACCGACGTTTTCGTCACTTCGAAACAATGTGCACTAAAAAACACTACAAACGGCATGTCGGTCTTTGCGTGTTCACGTGAAACGTCCAGGATGTGCTGTAAAGACCTATACAAGCGGCATGTCGATCTTCGGCTGAGCGGTCACTTGTGCAAAGATTTGCCCGTTCGCTTGTGCAAAGGCGTGCCCGTTCGCTTGTACGCACGGAGGTGCGTTTTGTGTTGGCAGGGCCAATGAATTCGGACTTCGTTACTTGTAACTTCGCGATGTTGGGGAGGTCTGAAAGTGCACGAAACGTCGGCAGGGCCATGGTTTCCGGCTCTGGGCGTGCATGCTGGAAATCGCGCTTTTTGGTTCCGAAGTTGTTAAAGTGCTGGCAGGGCCACAGGATTCGGCTTCCCCGCGTCGGTCTTTAGCCCCTGTTTTCACATTTGAACCCCCCCTGGGACCAACCAGAACGTACTGCGGCCAACGCGACTTCTCTTGCTCCACGCGCCAAACACGGACGTTCTTAGCCCCCCACCCCACCCCCCCACCCCCCCCCCAAGAACCAACCGGAACGTGAATTGCGAGCCTCCAAGAGTGCGGCTCCCGCGGGAGCGTCAAACACGGATGCTGGGGCCAACGAGAATTCTTTTGCTGCACGCGACAAAAACACGGACGTTATCAGCCCCCCACCCCACCCGCCCCCCCTGGAACTATACATGAAAAAAAATGGTTCTAAGTCCCCCACGTCAAACACGTCGAACACGGACTTTATTAGCCCCCCCCTGGAACCGACAAGAACGTGCTGCTGCCAGCGACACTGCTCTTGCTGCACGCGTCCAACACGAACGGTATTAGCCCCCCACGCCACTCCCACCCTCCCCCCCTGGGACCAACAAGAACGTGCTGGTGCCAACGCAACTTCTCTTGCTGCATGCGCCAATTACCAACGTTCTTAGCCCCCCACCGCACCCCCCACCCACCCGCCCGCCCATGGGACCAACCAGAACGTACTGCTGCCAACGCGACTTCTCTTACTCCACGCACCAAACACGGACGATAGCGCCCAGCCCCACTCCCCCACCCCGCCGCGGAACGTGCGTTTCGAGCCTCCAAGAATACGTTTTCCGTGGAAGCAATGAAACCAAACCTGACGTTCTTGGCCCCGACCCCCCCCACCCCACCCCAGCCAGGAAGCCAGCCCCAACCCCACCCCCCCACCCCGCCCCCCCAGCCCCACCCCACCCAGGACCAACCAAAACGTGCTTTTCGAGCCACTGAGCGCTCTTGCTGCACGCGTCAAACACAGACGTTATTAGCCCCCACCCCACCCCCCACCCCCCCACCCGCCCCCAGGACCAACCAGAACGTGCGTCTCGAGCTTGCTCTTGCTGCACGCGTCAAACACGGACGTTATTAGCCCCACCCCCCACCCCACCCCCCCAGCCCCACCCCTTCCAGGACCGACCAAAACGTGCTTTTCCAGCCTCCAAAAGTGCGTTTTCAATGGTTCCACTGAGAGTGCCCTTGCTGCACGCGTCAAACACGGACGTTATTAGCCCCGACCCCACCCCCCCACCCCACCCCACCCACCCCTGCAGGACCGACCAAAACGTGCTTTTCGAGCCTCCAAAAGTGCGTTTTCAACGGTTCCACTGAGAGTGCCCTTGTTGCACGCGTCAAACACGGACGTTATCGGCCCCCGAAGCATGCTCTGAAAACTTCTCCGGAAACCAACGAAAACATTCTTTTCGAGACTCCAAAAGTGCATTTTCGATGGTCTGTCAGATGTTTCCTAATACAGCTCAAAACGCACTTTTCGGCCAGCACTTGCCAAATGGGCAAGTGCACTTTCCTATGGGTTTTACAATGGATTCGGCACTTTCGCGCGCAAATGCCGTCAATTTCGGCTAACTTGCGAAGTGGACTTTCCTATGGTTTTTACAATGGATTCGACACATTTCCAAGCTTGTTGAAGCCATTTCCGAAAAAGACCGAAGTGCACGTTCCTATGGTTTTTACAATGGATTCGACACCCGTCTTTGCGCAAGCGACTGGGCAAATCTTTGCGCAAGCGACGCGAATTTCTTTGCGTAAGCGACGGTGCTGCCATCTTCGCGCTTTTGCGTCCATCGTCCAAAATGTTTTGTAAAAAACCAAGAAACGGCATGCGCGTTTATGAAACATTGGCCACACCGACGTTTTCGCCACTGCGAGTGCAGGATATGCTGCACATTGCTGCACAATGGAATACAAGCGGCACGTCGGTCTTCTCGCATTTACTTCAACATTGGAGCCAATACCAACAGCAGCAGCGACAACAGCGGAGCCAACAACAACGGCAGCAGCAACAACAACATCAACAACAGCAGCAGCAACAGCAACGGCAAGAGCATTTTCATTCACACGCAGCGGGGGAGGACTGTCTGTGGTGAAACTTATCGTCCACGCTTTGCGAGGGATCGACCTAGTGCCCTGCTTACTACTTGCGCGGTCACTCTTCACGGCAAGCCGTGCCTCAGCGCTGCACTTGCACACGCTCCGCCCCTCAGGGCTGCAAGCTGTGAAGTGGGAAGCGAATGTGTCTTCAGAGTCTTATGCGGCGTTATGATTTCGGCACTAGCTTGAAAGCTAACCGGCTTGGTTGCAATGTATCACTGGCTGATTGGCAGCAGATCATTTTGCACTCAGCTGCTGGGGAGAAACTCCACCAGCTGTACACACATGGCAAGGGGAGAAACTCCTCCGATTGTTGGGGAGAGTCTCCTCCTAAGGGAGCATCTCCGCAAGGCGTCTGGCTCAGGAAGAGGCTGCCATGAGACGATCTTGTCCCTGCTGAGTGTTGCCACTGTTCCCATTTTGGTTTCTGGCTGCTCCATTCCCTCGGCCTCCGCTTCCTCGTCCCCTGCTTTTGCCCCCTCGCTGTTGTCCTCTGCCTCGTTGCTGGGGAGTACCTCCACCACGCTGTCGCTTCAGGTGAGAATCTCCACCTGACGGACCTGCGTCTCCCCGTTTAGGGGCAGAGCTCTCATCCATCGATGCTCGCTGGAAGAGCTCTTGCAGAGACATTACTCGGGAGATTGGCTACGGCTCGTGAGAGACGGCGCTGCGAGCTAGGAAGATGACGTAGCTATTTTCTTGAAGCAGGGGATCTTCGAGGGTACAGGGACTAGGGGGGTGGGAGTCATCACCAACATACCAGGCATCTGCTGTGCGTACAGCTGCACGGTAATGGCCACTAGTGGACTCCATTCCTAGGTGAATGATCACTGCCTCTACTGTGTAGGTACAGAACGAAACTCGGGATGTGTGGTCCAGGAAGACAGGGATCTGGACTTGCTGTGGGATTGTGATGCGAGTGTGATCCTTAGCTTCACCTGCGAATCTCGGCAAGGCTAAGCACACCTGCTGTGCAGCTTCTATGAGAGCACATGAGCGCTCCTGAGACGACCATGCCACTAGCATGTCCTGTAGGTTGGTCTTGATCGCCGTGGCAAGATGAATGGGAGAGCCCCCTTCTTCGTCCACTATCACGCCTTCCGGTACTGAGGCTCTAGTTTCCCACTGTCCAAATCTTGATGCAGAGAGATTCCGAAACACTTGCTGCAGGAACTCAGCAGAGTCGTGCTGGCCTCCGTCAAAGAGCCAGCCCATGGTGAGCTCCGAGAAGACTCTGTGTTCAGGGGTTATTCTCGCAAGCTGACTGATCCGGGATGCCTCTTGGAAAGTCGCCTCTGAAGGATCTGATAGCCAGTGGAGACACTGCAGACCTGAGTTGGCATAGCAGTGGTTGCGAGTATTGGCTAGCAGGAGAAAGCCTTCCAGTCTAAACACGGGGTGAGGAATTCCTGGCGTTGAATCTGAAGGCTTCTTTGTGACTGTCTTCGCCGATGCCGTGGACTTTGCTCGAGTATATTCGCGGGGCTGCTTGCTGAGCTGCTGGCGCGCTACCTCGGCGCGCTATTTCCTGCAGTACGTGCACCTGCAGTAATGGAACGCACTGCTGAGCATGTCTACCCGGGGCATCCACACGAAGTTTGCAGTATCGACAGCTATCTCCTCTGTGGAAGAAGACCTTGAATTGATTGAGTCTTGGTTGGAGAGTTTTCTCCAGCTTGGCCATCACCTCAGGATGCTGCTTGTTTAAATGCTGTTTGGCTCCTTTCTGGCCTACGAGGACCTGACCACAGAGTGCGCAGTGTTCCATTAGGTAATCATGGAACGCCGGATTTCGAGCGGCGCCTTCTGGATTGTCCTGGGCATCAGACTGTAGACTTTCTACGAGTGGGATCCGTTTCTGTGCTTCTAAGGGTAGCTCTTCCTGCTGTCTAAGCAAAAGCTCTACCCTAGGGCAAGTAGATGCTTCGACATGTTTGCGCAGATAAAACACTGTTCGGAATGTTGCTCGACAGGCGATGCAAGTTGCTGACCCTGGCATTGAATGCAAAATAGGATCAAATTTGGGTCCTTTCAGGCACTGCTGAGAATCTGGGTGAGCCTTCTGCAGGTGGCGACGGAGTGCTCCGGTGCCAGAGAGACATGCTCCACATTCAC